TCTTCATCTTAATCTGATTAATCGATTTTATAACTGAAAAGGGAGAAATCGTTCGATCTAGGCTCGTTAGGAGTAAGCTTGTTCGTGATAGTATTGCTTATGTGTTGACTGTTTCAAGAATTACTCGTTTATGTCTATCCTCTTGTTACAAAGAGTTATTGGGGACAGACCTCTAGATGAGTAGTTTTGTGAGGCATTTAACCGAGCTTTTGATTGCTCGTTAAGTGAATTGAGAACCGGAATAGATTGACCCCGATACCCTAGCTCCTTTATAATTATTTGAGTTTGAACTTGTGATTCCTAGCTTTGTCTAGATTTCTAATTATTTGTTTCTCAATTCGTAGTTGATAATATTAAACCAAACCAATTGAATTAGAGTGTTTAGGACATTTTCATTATTTCGTGTGATTGAATATACGTATAAAATAATCCGGCTAACCTTCCTCGTGATACGACCCGGTGTCGAATCTTTGGATTCTACTCCGGTAAAAATATTTACAACAGAACCCATCCACACTTGAGATCAAGGAGCTACCTCGTCATCTCAAATATGTGTTCCTCGACGATGAGAAGCAAAAGCCGGTCATCATCTTTGCTGAGCTTAACCGGGAGAGGAGAAGGAACTGATTGAGGTACTTAAGAGGAACCAGAAGGCCATTGGGTAGAGCCTAGGAGACATTAAGGGCATCAGCCCTTCCACATGCATGCACCGGATCATTCTGGAGGAGGGTGCTAAGCCTTTTCGGGATAGCCAACAGCGGCTCAACCCGAACATGATGGAAGTGGTGAAAAAGGAAGTGCTGAAGCTATACTCCAAGGGGCTCATTTATCCAGTGGCCGACAGTGAGGGGTCAGTCCCATCCATGTGGTGCCGAAGAAAGGGGGCATCACGGTGATCGAGAATGAAAAGAAAGAGATGGTCCCCACCCGTATCACTACCGGGTGGTGAATGTGCATTGACTATCGGCGACTCAACGCCGTAACAAAGAAGGACCATTTTCCGTTGTCGTTCATTGATCAAATTCTCGACCGACTCTCGGGCCACCAGTTTTATTGCTTCCTCGACGGACTCTCGGGCTACTACCAAGTGGCCATGAGCATGTAGACATAAATGATGATTTTCCATATGAGCATGCAAATGAAGTGGTTAGTGTGCCTTGGTATGCAAACATAGTGAAACGGTTTGTTTTGATGTGTAGGAGCTATTTTTGGGACGACCCATTCCTTTTCAAGAGGGGAAAAGATGAAATTCTTCGGAGATGTGTGCCCGAAGAAGAGCAACATGATGTCTTGGCCTTCTGTCATGAGCTTCACTGTGGAGGACACTTTGGGGGTCGAAAGACCGCTTTCAAAGTCCTCCAATCAGGTTTATTTTGGCCAACTCTTTTTAAAGATGCTTATAACTTTTGCAAATCTTTTGACCGCTGCCAAAGAATTGGGAATATTGGCCCAAGGAATGAGATGCCCCTTGTGAGCAATTTACAAGTAGAAATTTTTGATGTTTGGGGCATCGATTTCATGGGACCATTTCCCAAATCTTTTGGCTTTGAGTATATCCTTCTTGCCGTAGATTACGTGTCCAAGTGGGTCGAGGCTATCCCTACACGGACATGTGATGCTAATGTGGTTATCAAGTTCTTGTAGAGTAATATCTTGAGCAGGTTCGGTTTCCCACGAGCCATTATAAGTGATGGGGGCAAGCATTTTTGCAATCGACTCTTCGAAAAGTTAATAAAAAAGTATGGCATTTCACATAAAGTGGCCACCCCATACCATCCACAGACCTCGGGCCAAGCAGAGACGAGCAACAAGCAGATAAAGACAATTCTCGAGAAGACGGTGAACTCGTCTCAGAAAGATTGGTCAAGCC